TTATCAGACATAAATTTGAAATAGGTGTGAATCTTTATCAGGAGTTTCTGCTAACATATTAAACAGAACTTTCAGCAAGCCATGTACGGATGTTTTTAGCTAAAACTAACTAAATAATGCTAAGGTTTCTAAAAAAATCTACAGAAATCACAATCTTAAATGTTTTAGAATGCCATTAAATATTTTGAATATATTACAATATTTACAAAGAATTTAAGGTAGAAAGATTCTGCAAGTTTATATCATACACAAAGTACCTGCACTATTATCTGACAGGATTAACCCTAATCTCATGCCTGCTAGGAGTGAGGGGATAGGAAAGCATGGCTATGCAGTAAATTGCTATTTGGGGGTAAGGAAGCTTTCCGAGCGCCTATCTCCAGTAGGCCACGTTTTCCTACTCCAAATGGAAACTTTAATGTTGCCAGCCAAGCCTTGGTCCCTTTCCTGATAAGCTATTTCTCAAATATGAATGTAGATTAATCCTCTTTTTAATAAGCATTAACTCAGCCCAGATAATCAGAGTATAAAAATTCCATCCAATCTTTTAGTGGTACTTGGATAGTTTTGTCAAATAATGTATATCTCAGAAACAGTTTTAAAAGCTATGCTTGAATTGTTTAATATTTCATAATTTGCTCACTCAATTGTTAATACTTATTGAGTTTCATAAAATCTGTTATCTACAGAGGTAATAGTCATAAAATAAAATCACCTTTTTAAAAGTAAAAATATATTTATTACATTAAAAATTTGATCCTTTAAAATTATGAATAAGAATATGAACAACATAAATTTGAAAGGAATTGTGTAACCTTCATGTGGATTATAATACAGATACATAAAATACAGGAACATATATGTTTCATATGATATATATATACATATACATATATGTATATATATAATAATATAGAATCCTCACGAAAGCTACATGGATTTTATTTGAATTTATGTTGTTCATTTTTCTATTTATGAACACTGTTTTACATATGATCAAACATTTACTCTAGATTCAAAAATAACCTAATATTTTCTGCCAAAATCTCTTTATAAGCTCATTTCACCCTTTAACAACTAGGTTGGTAAATTATTTTAGCAGTCAGGGATGTCAGGTGCAGTGACAAGAAGACTGTTAGTGCTCAAATGAAGATTAAGATAAATAACATTGTATGTTGCCCTGGAAAAATCTAAAATGACTTCATGTAGAATAAGAGATCTGAGGATGCTTTTTCAAATGTAGATGCCCTTTGCACCACGTGGAAACCTGTAGTGCATATTTGTTTTTGAAGAATTTAAATAAAGGATAAAGAGGAAAAATATGATAGAAAGTTAGTGTGTTACATTGCCCTGGGGAAATCTCTAATTTCTACTATGTAAAGAAGCAAAACATGTTCAGCGAAATTCTTTCAGGTCATTTAAAGGTACAAGTTTGCATTTGATTCTTGATAGTTGTCTTTATAATCTAAAGTGTTAAACTGCCAGTGTTCTCTGATAAATATGTTAAACCTGACATAAGAATATCAGTACTGAGGGGCAGGTTTTCTTTCCCTTCCTTCTAAGCATTCAAATACAGTTTTTCACATGATGGAGCGTCAAAGAAGAGCAGCAATAACAGTCCCTGAATAAGTTTTTGCCTAAAAAGGATGAGTGGGAGACATCCTGCAAGAGTAAGAATTTCCAACCTGAAAGGTATTTACATGTCTCCCCACTAGTTAAAATCTCCCTTATTCTACCTCTAGTGGAGATGAAGAGACTTGGAAAGGAGCAGGAAAAGGGGAGTGCTGAAGTCAAATTCTACCTACAGTGCAATTCTACTCAGATCGGTCCAGCTTCATTAAAATATATGTTTCTTAATATGTGTAACATAGCAGATATTTAAGTATAATACCATATCACACTTAGGGCTTGAAATAAAGGAAGTATCTTATAATGTAAATTAATTTAAATAAGTATCCAAAATTTTATTTGAAAAAATTATTTTGCTATCATGTCAACAATAAAGTTTTGAGATTATACAGATATTACACTGTAGTGAAAAAGTAGAAATGTTAGGCTTTTCATCTTGCAAGTAAAATCTCATTTTCTTGTGAAATTTATGATCCCAAGAGAAATGTTTATGAAAATAAAAATATAAACAGAACCAGTACACAACTTATTCAATATAATTTCATAACACACTTCAGAGAAAAGTAGCCCTGTGTGAAATCTCTGTGCTCTTAAAAATAGATCATTAGCTCATGCATGAAATATCAGAATTTAAACCCATGAAAAATATATATTCCATTAATCATTCCTATTTAAAATCCCCATATTCTTTACATTGTATAAGGGCAAGAATGAACACTTTAACAGGTAGAGGATAGGCTATTTCTGGAGGGAAATGTGTAGAAAATATCAGCAAGTCAGATATGCAATGCTAGGTACCTGTGGTTTCAATTTTCATTTGCTTCTCACATACAAGAAAGGAACAGCAGTTGCTGGAAGGCAAATTACTAGTTGAAGGTGAATCCATTCTGAGAGACAGCCATCTATCAATTAAGTATAAAGGTTTTGAAAGGCTGCTTTCTGGTTTGGCCTTATTCCAAAATATTTGAAGGGCATACACCTTCTGAGTTAGCAGTTCTTCTACAAGCAGATGGATATCAATCACTATGAGAAATGATAATAGTAAATGGACTATTCTTGTCAAGCTCAAAGACCAACAGAAATTTTCAAATCAAATACATAGATTTTGCAAAAAAAAAACAACAAAAAAGAACAACAAAAAACCCCACAACCTGTTGTTAAAAAAAGAAAAAAAAAAGAAAAAGGAGAAATATCTAACATAATTTTACTAAAGCACAAACCTACTAATTATGAAAGCTTTGTTATTTATGAGGCATGAGTGAATGAAGAAGTGTAGAGAGTAAAACTGCCACACTGCACTGCAGTGACTAGTGTAGTCAATATTTTAATGTTTTCACTAAAGCCAAGCAAAGGGATAAACACAAAGTAGTCCTTGAATGAAATCTGTTCTTCCATATGCTTTATAAGATTTGCTAGTCTATGAAGGTGTCACAGAGATAAAATGTAACATTGTAAGTGACTAAACACATGGGTTGATAGTACCTTCCAGGAATGAAGGTGGAGCACTGCATTGCAAATCAAGAAGGTACATTAAAGTATCATCAAGGTTCAAGACTGACACTCAGCAGTTACTGCCTGCCATCCCTTTCTGGAAAGAATCCCTCACTGGTGTGGTGGGTCGGCTCTCAAAGCATAAGCAAGACTGAGTCAGCAATCAATAACAAAGACAGCAGATCACAAAGCATGGAAGCCCCTTTCCAATGGAGACACTACGATACTTTCTCTAGTGCTGGGGATTATTCTATCCAGTAAGTAATAACCTTTATTTTCATAAGATATGGACATGAGCCACAATGTTATAATCAAATGATCATATTTAAATGCTGTAAAATAACTGACCAGACAACAAGTAGGTGCTTTGATTTTTCATTTTCATTATTTAGACATTCTCAGCAGTTTAGAAGTCTACAAACTACAGCAGCTTATAAGCTTAATAAGCAATGAAACTCTTGTCAAAATCAGTTATTAAGGTATTTATGCTTCTTACCAAGGTTATAGAAGACTAGGAGCCCAGCACGGCCCACCCACCTGCAGCCCTGTCTTCACACCCAAACCTGTCCACGCAGAGCTCCAGCGCACCTGGCCCAGCCCCCAAACCCTCTGGCCTTCTCTGGCCGCCTCAAGCCCCACACTCAGTCCCTCCACTGACCTCAGGCTGGTCCTGCCTTCTCTGGGTGCCTCCCCGCTTCTGCCCCATGTCCAGAGCAACACTGCGGCTCCGCCCCACCATGGCTCCAGAAGAGAGCAGAAGCCTCCTGCCTGCTGCACTGTGCTCCTTCCCCTGGCAGGTGGGCTGCAGGGCACTCAGAGTGTGAGCGGTGGGTGGCGAAGGACTGGTGAGGGGGGGCTATGCGCTCTCACCCCTGCCCTCCCCAGCATGAGATGGTCCTGCCTCCTCCCGGCTCCTCCCCACTTCCGCCCAACTCCAGAGCAACGCCCCGGCTAATATGCTAATGACCCGGTCATTACCTGTTATGGTGTATCAACCATTAGCATATTAGCTCTTTATTAGTATAGATTGAATAAAATTTCTCAAAAAATTCTAAAGTGTTTGTAGAATGATGTTAAATCAAAATCGTTAGCTTATAAACTCTAAAAGTATAAAATACGGTGAGACAATTTCTTTGATTGTTAGATAAAATATTTAAAATGAATTGCAGTCAAAATTGTTATTGAGCTTCATTACTGAGTTCATTCTTTTCGTCACTGACAATAATTCTCTCTCTCTCTCTCTCTCTCTCTCTCTCTCTCTCTCTCTCTCATCTTAGAAATATTTTAAAGCCCACAATTTTGAAAACCTTGAAATTCTGTTTTGGATTGTAAAACAAAACATCTTTTCCGGCAGGTAGAACACATAGGACCTTCTTTTTCTTCTGCTGCTTCTTTTCCTTCTCCTTTCTAAAATGCTGATTCATCACCTTGAACCAGACATCTATTTAAGTGACTAGTGAATCCTTAATTCATGCATCACCAGTCTTATTAATTCTGTCAAGACTTTTTTCCTGAGCATTTTAGTAATCCTCTTGCCTAAAGACAATCTCAAGGAACGGCTTCATAGCATGCAAAGTCTGTGTATTTCTGTGTTTTGAAGAACTAGTTGAAAAAAATGGTTAAGCATTTATCTTGTGCACTCTCGTTATGCTTCATTGAAAATTCAAGCAAAAAGATTGCCTTATGGTCATAATGTGATATACTGAATAGCAATGCATTAAAGCATGTCGTTTATAATTGCATTTTACAGAACAGATGTTTAAAACAAGCCAAAAAGATTCATTCATTCACTCTTCTAGTATTCCATCCCATTCCATCCTTTTTCATTTCAACACATTCCTAAAGATAAGAGGTTTTCTTGGCTGGAAATAGTCTCTTACCAGCATAATTACTGAGTCCCTTTCTCTTCTTTCTTCGCCAATACAACCAGATGCTAAAACCCATCAAAATTACCCAGCAGGCACCACCAATACCAGCTATAAAGGCTGGTTGCTTCACAACATCAGTGATTTGCTCAGTTATGCTGTTATTGTTTTCAGTAATGACAACTTCATTACGTCCGCCTATGGAAGAAACAATAGTTTTAGTAAATATTAATACAAAAACAAACACCACAATACACATGGTGCTCTAAAGCCACACACACAAAAAAATAGAAAATTCCTTTGAAAGCAAGTAATATTGGTTGTGTCCTGAACCTGTCACAATTATTGATGAGAATATTTTATAAGTTACAGAAGAATAATCAAATCATGAGTTTGAAATGTGATTTAAAACATTGCTAATCAGTAAATAAAATAAATTAAATTAAACAAAAAAACCCACATTGCTCTCTTATGATTGGTTTACTATTATGAATAGATTCAGAACTGCTTCTCGGTTTACCACCTTATAAATGAGTACTAAAACAATTACTAGGGGTTGAAATAATGGCAACTCTTCTTCGTTAGGTAAAGAGTCTTTTAATGTAGTCTCATACAACAAAAAAATGCAACTGCCACAATCAGCACAGGGTCTTTGCAAATTCTCTTTCCTTTACAGCATGGTCCAAATTCAAATGTTCATGATTCAAAAATATGGGACTTAATACTGTCTTTAATATCATACCAAGGAACTTATTTTGGTCAAACCACTTAATTTTCTGGAATGTATTAAAATCAATGCATAAAACAATGCGATTATGTAAACATCCTTTCGTAAAGATTAGTATTTATAATTAAAATGTCATGAAAAGATAAAACTTGTATATTACCATAAAGTATATGAAACCAACTTGAAAATCCACTTAAAAGTTGAGCTCAAAGGACAACTTGAAATATAATTCTAAGGTCTACATAATTAAAGCATACATTTAAACCTAAACTAAGATTATTCTAGAAGTAGTCATGTTTTTGATAATCTAGACCTCTCTGAGGTAATTTTAGAAGTCTTAATCCACATTTTTAAATAGGCATAATCATAATATCACTGAAGAACAAAGATGTAGTGTTTAACAGATTAAGAAATTTAAACACTGAGAATTAAGTGATTTTTCTTTTTTAAGGTATTTTAATAGCTTTATTGATGCATAATAAACATATAATAAACTGACATATATAAAGTAGTAATTTAATTGTTTTGACATATGCATACAGGCCTGAAACCATTACTATTATCAAGATAATGAATATATCCTTTGGTCCCCAAAGTTTCCTCCTGCCCATTTATTATCCCTCCTTTCAACATCTCCATGCTAACTCCCAGGCAACCATTGATCTGTCACTGTAGATTATCTTTATTTCCTAGATTTTATATACATGGAATTATACAGTATGTACTCTGTTTTATCTGGCTTTCACTCAGCACAATAATTTTGAGATTCATCTATGTTGCTGTGTGTAGTTTATTCTATTTTATTACTAAGAGATATTCCACTTGTGGTATGTAATTACTACAACTTGGAATCAAATGTTCATATAAAGACTAATACATGAATATTTGTAAAAGCTTTGTTTGTGATAGGCTAAACCTGTGATTGGCAAACTGCGGCTCGCGAGCCACATGCGGCTCTTTGGCCCCTTGAGTGTGGCTCTTCCTAAGCCTTAGTAGTACCCTAATTAAGTTAATAACAATGTACCTACCTATATAGTTTAAGTTTAAAAAATTTGGTTCTCAAAAGAAATTTCAATCGTTGTACTGTTGATATTTGGCTCTGTTGACTAATGAGTTTGCCGACCACTGGAACTGATTCCAATGTCAATATTATACCTTATTAGTGACTAATCAAATCCTATTTATAAGTAAATTATAATCCAAATATAAATGGCAAATTTTAGCATATCTTATCAAAGGAATGTATAATTTTTATTAGTTATCATGGCACTGAAATATATTACAAAGATCATGGACTTTGAGGTTCTGTATTTGAATACCATCTCTGCCACTTACTAGCTAAGTAAGCAGTGAGCTTCTGCAGGGCACTTAAACTTTTTGAGAACCAGTTTTTGTTCGTTGACAACAGTGCCTTCTATTTATGAGGGTTGTTTAGATGTTGTATGTAAAGAGGTTAATAGAAACACAGTAGTTTGTGACTCAAAATTATGGCCTACTTAAGGTTAAAGTTTATTTTAAGAGCCACTCAGGTAACTTCAAGTATGTAAGTTGTAAACTGTCTAGATGTGAGAGTCCTGCAAACCACAGGTGACTTGCTTATTGCAGTTTCTCTTTTATTCCAGATAAGAAAATCAGCCCACAATACCCAGACTGCCTTATAGTTGAGTGTAACAAAGTGAATGAGTATTGGCCAATGGTACATGGGCACAAGTGATGCATACTAGGTACTACCTTCAGACTTGATCCATATGCTGTGACAATACTTAGGGGACATCGCCTCCCTAAGAGATGGGAGAGCCATTAACTGGAAAGACTGAAATATCCTGAATAACTGTATAAAATCTGCTACCCCAGTTTAGACTGGGCTATAAATAAGAAAGAAACTTGTCAATTGTTAAGACAATCAGAATGCAGGCTTCTTTGTTATAGCAGCTAGCCTTTTTTATACGTACTTTTATTTCATTTCTAAAATGTATTTTGTGTTTAATTTAAGACAAAATACAGATTCACTTATATAGTTAGTAAACCTTTCCCAATTTATCTGCCCTTAATTATTTTATATATAAATATAGTCAAAATGTATTTAAAATGATTTATTTTAGCTACTAAAGAGAAAATAATACCTCACAGAACAAAGAGAAAAGAACATTTCTTCATTTGTGTAAAAGGTTAATAAAATATCATATTTAATATAGTGCAATATTTGTTACCATAGGTGTATTACTCTTCCTTATGCTGCTACCATAGGTATATTACTCTTCCTTATGCTATTTTTGAAACAATGTTGTGAGTTGCACTAATTATAGCATAGAGAAGATTGTTGTGTGTGACCTGTAATGCTCCATTGTTCTTGCAGACAAAAAATATAGTGAAATATAATGTATTCCTTCTATTGGAGAGTAATGAAGAACAAAACTAATTTGTTTCACTAAAAATTAATTATACACATCAGATTCAAGAGTACCTATTATTGTGAAAGTTTGCACCTGTTCCATATATTATTACCAACTATGTAAGGTAAGTGTGAAATGACCAAATGATTAAAGAAATACTAGCTATATTATAAAGCACAATTACTAAAAATTTTAAGTCAATGTCACATTGTTATAAGGCATACTGTTGGATGCTTATGTATGTAAATGCATTTGGTAGCATTTGTGTGTTTGTGAGTGCACCAATATATAGAACTATGGACACATTGATGTAAAAGTCATCTTACCAGTGAAAGCTACATACAAAAGACCAATTTTACTTTTAAGCCTGTGTAAGACTGTTTATTATGTTTACACAACATTTTAATTAATGGCCTCTTAATGGAACTTTCTGGAATGAAAACTAAACTGAGAAGGAATAGATGAAACAGTACATGGTCTGGCATAAGACAAATCTGAATTTATCAGCTATAAATTACATCAAATGTCAATACATGACTTAATTAAAGCAGAGGGAAAATGAGGGAGAGCTTGAGTCACTTTAAGTGCTGTTTCCAGTGCTACACAGACAATAGGAGAAGCATAAATTGAAACAGAACAGGAAGTTAAACATCACAATCACTTTCAACCAAGGAATAACAGTTGTGTAGATAAGATTATCAGACAAGATGTTAAGGTAGATATGCAGCGGTAATTAAAGAAACGATTAAGGGCTTCTTTAGTACAACAGTATTTATTAAAAAGAAATAAGTCTATTGGGGACAAATAGCCTTTTCTGGGTTGAATTTTGCTTGCTGTGTGTGTGTGAATATGGGTGTGTGCACGTGTTTTCATTTCAAGTGAAAAAATATTCCATTTTCCGTGATTACAATTGGAATATTGCATATTCTACCTATTGAATGAGAGATAAAACTATCATTTAGGAGGTTACTTTTATTTCATAGAAAGATTCTAACACCTTTGCATGATACATGAAACTATAAATTAAAAGGTACTCATTTTGCATTTAAAGACTTAGTCTTCTTAAAATAATATGAGTTAAGTGAAACTTTCCCTTTGTTTTAAAATAATTGTATATTCACTTTATCATTTTCAAGTCCTATACATTCATTCATTTCTTAACTGTCATGACATGAACATGGTAAAATGATATTCTTGCAATTATTTACTTGCCTCATAGTGTTATAAATCCCCAAAATATTGGGAAACAAACAGGTAGTCACTATAAAACAATAACAAAACGTTGCCATGCTTGAAAATTATATTCATAATTAAATATTATAGAAAAATAAAGAGGAAAATATAGATATTCAATCTTCCTTATCTTTAGTTAAACAATTATATTCAATCCATTTAATATAAGTGCTAGAGAGACAGTAAAAAATGAAAACAAGGTTCGTTAGTCTTCTAGGAGCTCTCATAGAAAACTACATCTTTTAAATGTGTCTCATATCTAAATTAAGTTAAGAATTAACTTATTTCTAAATACTATAAATGGAATATATATGTCAGTTAAATTCTTTTGGGTGTACCTGTATTTCTTTCTTAGTCCAATTTATTAAAAAAAATCTCAGAAGGGCAAGATTGTAGGTTTCCCTCAGGTTAATAAATTAATTCAGTCTGTATGACTAATTAAGAAAGGAAAGGCAATTTAGAGGAAAGTTAGTACTATAACTTTTTCTCTTCAATTCCTTATTATATATAAGAAGGGAAACTTGGAGAATCTAAAAAAAAAAAAGTTACCACTACAATGGAGAATCTAAAAATATTTGCCACTACAAAGGAATGCTAAATCTCTTCAGATACAATAAATACTTTGTAATAAGAAATGATTTCCAGAAATGAGCAGTATGCTCTCTGTGCATCATTTCAAAAAATAAACAGAAGACAATGGAATGGCAAATTGGCTTGCATCAAACACTAGACAGTGTTTTTAAAATATATAAATTCTTGGTAGGATATTTTTTAAAAGTTAAAGATTATGACAAGCAAATAAAAGCAGGGAGAACTGGAGATATTGCCTCTTGAAAGAAAGGACC